TGTCAAAGATCCTTACAGTGCCACTAGCTGGTCTTGTTGCTATTGTACTGAGGCACACCCAGTGTGACCCAGTATTTACAATCTGAACAAAGTCAGATCTAGCAGGCACAACATGTGACCCAGTGATAGTTGTATCATTTAGGCCATCTAGAAATGGAAATTCTTTCTTTAGGAGAAGCTGCCCTGCATGGATTTCTGAATCTGTTAGCCAGCTGGTTTTGTTGAGAATACTACTTTTGCTTGCGTGATAAAGAATTAGTTTAGATTCAGGATCATCAGGATTGCAATTTTCTAATTTCACCCACAATGGAGGATCAGGAGAATCATCATTGACAATAATTACAGGTGATTTACAGGAAGGGATGACTGGATCACAGGGACTGTTGCAGTTGTGCTCATCTGTGTTTTCTTTAGCTGATTCACCAGATTCATTCAGGAGAGTGTGCTTCTGTGGAGCTGACTGTGGTTTTGAATTTTCTGTGGGTGCAGGAGTGGGAGCATCATTTATGCCATTGGAAGAGGATGTTTCACTATTCAATGTCGGCACATTCTGGGGTGGTTGTCCCCAGTCTCGTCGTTGTTTCTTAGCTGGTGTGGAATATTTGAGGCCTGATTTGTTTTTTCTTTTCAGACCTTTTTTGGTTTGGGTTTTGTCAGAGGTACTAGAGGCACCATTCACAGGGACATTCACTTTGTAGTGCTTTTGCATCATAGATGCAAATGCCCCAACTCTGTTTTTGTACCGGTTTTTCTTGGGCCGCACAGGTAGCGGAAGGTAATGCCCAGCAGATGATTTACCATTTGACTTAACCTGTTTGTTGAGCAATGTCTGTGGAAAGTTTTCCTTTTCATCAATTGTTTGGCATTTTTTAAACTTGTAGACTAATAATTCCAGAGAAGTATTAAGTTCCTTAAGGCCATTTAAATTTTCAATGTTGTATGTTATTGATGTTAGCTCTTTTAGTTTCTCTCTACACACCATTGCTTCCTGCCTTATTGGGTCTTCAGGATTTCTGGCTCTCTGCCTGGGTATGCCAGTTCTTTGACCTTGTAGATCCCTTTTAAGATTTTCGCCAATGCCATTATTTCCTTCCTCAGTGGACTCATCGGTAGCTTTATATTTATTAGCATCAACAAAGACATGTTCCCAGTCTAGTGAGATGTGAGGGTTTTGTCGAAACTTTTCTGGTAATGCATCCCACTGCCACATTGGATACAGGTCAAATATTGCAAAAAAATGCTTACATAGCAGCCCAGTGTGGCAAAAATCAGGACAGGTACATCTTGGCATGATATTCTCAGAACCAAAAGAAAGATCGTACCAAACTTCATCTGTCTGGGACTGGACTTTGAAATTTCTGCCTTCTTCTTCTCTGATGTGTTTTGATTGAACTTCGCTTGCATGTTTTATCCGCTTCTCACAGTGGTTTAGGAAAGGTCTTGGTTTGTTGTGCAGGTATTTGGGTAGGGTCAAGCTGTAACGCTTGTAGCCTCCACTAAACTTTGTGTTTAGCTCCACATACCTAACAAAAATAGAAAGAGAGAGGAAAAAGGTTGACATGCAAGCTGCTTAGATGGAGAGATCATCGCTTCCGATTTACTTAACGTTTTGATAGAATATGAATTGCAAGTTTGTAGAGGTATTGTTGTTGGGCCATTATTCTCAAATAGCTAAGTGAGTGAAAAAAAAAAAAAAAGAGGGGACGAGGGGAAAGGCTCATTTTTTTCCATTGACCACCCACTTTTTCATTAGCCCCCGACTATTCAATAGCTTGAAACTGGCTATCTCTTTGCTCATAAGAGTCAAGTGACCTTGTCAATAATAATGAAAAAATATTGTGTTAAAAAATAGACTAATTCCTCGAAACCCCAAGAGCATTCAAAAATACAAAATGGCCAAGTTTTAGGGGCCTGACATTAGAGAGTGATTCTTTGTCGCAGTCTGAATTTTTGAGAAATTTTAAGGAATTGTATGAGATTCAAAAAATTCAAACACACTGTCATAAAAACTTCACTCAAACTGTGCAATTGTGCTTTTTTTTTGGTCATGATAAAGTGATTCCCCACCTCAAAATGGTTAATAGTGATGTTTTGTCTGTCTTTGACAGTTACTGTACCTTCTGTATTTGTCTGGAAAATACTCCTCAGTCACTACGGTAATCATCCCGCTAAGGCTGTTGTTATTGCGATCCTTCAAATATTGGTATTTCAACAATTCATTCTGGCGTTCAGTTCCATTGTTGGTGTTGATACTGACCAGGAATCTGTCCTGCTTAAATGCCCACACCCATCTCTGTAACAGAACAGGTTACAGGAAATTTAATCTTTTCAAAAGTATTATATTTCTCCCTTGCTGCATGCTTGGGCATCATATGTTTATTGTGCCAAATTTATGACATAATAAATAATTACAAAATGAATCAATAAATCACTAATACAGTATTCAAATTGTTGTTGCTGTGTTACAAAAACTTGTAAAAAGTCACACCGTGCATTGTCTCCTTCAGGCTTTTAGATATTAAATAACAAGCCAATGGCGGCAATGACAATCCAACAGATGTGTACCTTATCAATATTGTCAATAGGTTTTTTTAATATCAAACTGCTAGTAGACATACGGACAATACTATGCTCTGTGGAAAACACTGACTGAGAATGGTCCTGCACTATTTACTGAAAGTGACAGAGAAAACCCAAGCAAATGTTTGATGTGTGTACACTACTTACCTTGGCCTCTACCAACCAGGTTTTTTCAAACCAATTTCTAAGCTTGGGATTGGCTAACCAAAGGTCACTCTCCTTAAGTGAGGACAGATTGTCTTGAAATGCTTCCTCTGTTGATGATTTGGCAACATTACGAAGCAGACTTAGGACCTCCTCCCTGCTCTCTGACAAACCATTTTCAGTTTTTCTCAGCCATCTCTCCCAGCTTTGTTCTCGGTGAAAGTCACAGATATATGTTGTGGTATCTATTAAATAAAAAATTAACTTCATAAAATCTTTATTTGGATACAATTTTTGTATTTTTTGAAAATATTGGAAACCTATAAGTAAAACCTTTTCTTTATGACACTATATATATATGAACTGGTTGGTTATGATTAATGGTAAGCCATCCAGATTAAACAATTCTTATTATCTCCAAAGTTATAATAACTGTTCTACATGTTAAACCACATTTAACCATATTTTTTAATTTAGTCTCTAAAGTAGGTCTTCAACAAGGGGAAAATTGCCAAAAAAAATATGCAGTTAGCCCTTGTGGTCAGCAAATGTATTAGGATGCTCTTATCAGCCACTCACATCAATTGAAGTCTAAGGTTAACATATATTTTATTGAAACATTCTTACCTGGGAATGTGCTCTCAATGGCATTAATCTCCTCCTGGCAAAAGTCAGTCATAAAATATCGTGGCTTCCAGCTTTCATTCCAATCTCGAAAGATTTCCAGTGCTTCCTGAATGGAAGCTGTTGTTTCCCTTTGAATTATAAAACATCCCACAACCGTGTAGTTAACATTTGTCTTGACAACCAGAAGAAATAATGGTAGGTCATATCTCATTGTCTTGTAGGTTGCATCAAGGAGGGATATTTCATTTCCATAAAGATTCATAAGATGTTTCTGCCAGGCTGTTTGATGTGCAAAGAGGAGTTCTTCAGTCTGCTCACAAGTCTCATCTGTTTCACATCCTGTTTCGGCAGTAGCTGAGGTAGACAGAGCACTGGGTCGAAAATAGAACGAGTCCTCAGGATGCTCCTCACGCCAATTTTCTATTTTCCTTTGCAGGTTTTCCTGATCCACTTTGGACAGCAATTTTTTTACCGATGCCCGGTACATGTGGTTCCTGACATCCACATCTGTGGGATAGAAGCGCCTGTTTGTAATAGGAGGTGGAGTCTGCCCTGGAAAAAGTTCACATTTCACAAACTGTTTAAGGTGTCTTTTCATTTCATCAACAGTTTTAACACCTTCACCAACAAGCTCTTCAATCTTGTCTACAAGCCGTTTGTCAATTGGTTGCAGAAGACCACCAACCTTATTTGTTGAAAAAGAAGGAAAAAAATTGTGTTAATAACTATACAAATATATAATTTAATATGTATAATTAATAATAATACTGAGTGGTCGATGATCTGCACGAGGTTAAGCCAATATTGTGGAATAGTTGTCACTGAGCCTGAGTAGAGTAATAATTATTCTACTCAGGATGTTAGTGGCATCTGATTAGAGGTATATTGCTACTGACATGGGTACTTTAGATTACAGTTTCTGGTATCGACTTATTACACTTTGCATGATGACCTGACTTTCCTTTTAAATTATGGGCACAAATTAATCAGAATGAACTTGTTTATTTTGTTGATCCTGTCTTAAAATCAAAATACAGTTTAATAGACAAAACGGTAGATTAAGAAAGTAAGTGACAGTACAGAAAAATATGAAAAGGATGATAGCATCAACATGACACAAGCATGAAGCAAAGAAACAAAGCTGAGTCCCTGACAGAAATTGACCCATGACATCCCAAACGTCGGGCAGAAACTCTTTCCAGTGAGCTACAAGAACTCCCGGAGAGCCAGCCCATTTAACATGCATCCTGCATGCATACTGCTAGGTTCAGCAGTTTTATTTCCAAGCTTAAAATTCACCATTGTCTCATTTATCAGTACAGAAAAATTTATAAAAATGATCTTAGGTTTACTTGTAAGACCATTCATCGGACGGGTGCTTAACAAACCTCGCCAGTGATATGGTCTTTGTGTTCATCCTCCTTTGGTAGGTAGATATAGATTCTACGTTCATATGGAGGTTTTTGTCCACTGTTGGTATCAGTCTTTAGCTTTTTGGACATGTCCCGTCGAAGTCTCTCTGTGTCATCCCTGATCTACTTGTAAAGAGTTATTGTTAACAAAACTTTTACTTGTAATTTAGTACAGACTAATAATAAATTATGAGTATTGAGGTTACTATACTTAAAAATATGTTGAAAACATCGCTATCAATAGCACACAGCAATAGTTATAGTAATAATAATAATCATCATCATCATCATCATCATCATCTCATTGTTTACAGACTGAAGTACCTTGTAACTTGGATATGTAATAACTTCTGATAGACGAATACTTGCAGTGCACCCGAATTTCATGGTGTCTTGAGGTAAAAATCTCTTCTTTTTGAAGGAGTGATCGCCAGCCTGTAGTTAAGAAGAAATAATAATTATAATGTAAGAAAAGAAACAAACAAAAACAAAAGGTTACTTAGATGGGGAAGAAATAGATTTTTTTTGGAATTTTAATTTGTCAAAAACATACCTTCTCATTGGCTTGTCTTGCTTTGAATGCCTTTTTTCTGTCTGGACCATGTTGGCAGTCAAACACCTTTGAGCCAATGATACTGAAGGGCACTCCATCAAATGGGATTTTGTCATCTTTAAAATAAACTTTTCTTGGCTTGGCAAAGGGATCTGTGACAACATCCAAAGAAGGAATTTTTGTTTGTATTTTATTTAATGCACTGGTCATTTTATCAAGCAGTTCTGTTCTTTATTTCAAAGATTAAATGACACAATTTGTTTCTTTTTTTTACCTGCTTCACCTTTATCTAATATTCATCCATAGCCCTCACCTGCTTAACCCAAGCACGTAAGCTACAGTTGAATCCAGCAAGAACCCACACATTTTTTTTCAGATCAGGTGAAATTCGTTCTTAATAAAGTCAATAAGCCTATATGACAATACAAACATCAGCTAACCTTAGTTGTAATTTTTATACAGATATTACTGGACATCCCAGTGAGAGGGAGGGGGGGTTCTACTCAATAATTTTTTATATAGGGGGGATCTGTCCAGTGGTCCAAACCCTTATCTTTTCATCTACTACTTTTGACCTGAAAAAGGTAACCCTTTCATGCACAGCCTCTCAACATTCATAGTCCACTATGGGAGTAACCTCCCCCCCCCCCCCTACACATACACACCCACAGGCGTATGGGCGCACCTTTCGGACTTGGGAAGGTGGTGACCTTGACCTAAATTTAAAAAAAAAAAAAAAACTAACTGTTTAAAATTATCGTGTCTCACGAAACTAGTGTCACAATTCCAGAATCCAAATTTGAATTCTTGAAACCCATTTTATTAATTAATGGGATTTTTTGTTTGTTTTCTCCATGTGCTTTTGCTGAAATCATGGGCATTTTGTCCTACCCAGCGAGCAGAGTCGATCTTCCTAGATCAGTCGGGTAAGAAGATCGAAGAGACTCTGTTCGCAGGGTAATTTTGTCCGAAAAAAAATTACGACTGGGGGCTGCCGCCTCCCCCCCCCCTCCTGTTCGTTCGCCTATGCCCCCCAATCTAAATGTATATTTTTCCCATGTTTGCATGCATAATAGACTCACCTCCAGCCCCAAACATCTTGTCAGATTTAAAACAGGAAAACTTTGTCGTGGTTTCTATCTCATGTTGCTTTATCACAGCCATGGCTGCTTCAACTGACTCGACATAACCAACATACTTGCTTGTAGATCCTTTAAACTTCGGCTCCCACGAACATACCGCATGAGCAGTAGTACTCAAAGTACTGTTTAATTGTACAAGATCATCTGTGTGGCGTTCTTCGACATTTACTGGCGTAGCCATTTCTAAAAGGGTTAGCTGGGCTATCACAGTTCTTACTAAACTTCCAGATTTAGCGGTCGCGGAACCTTAATAGAAAATCTGCATTTACATATTTGAAAATGCCCGCCAAAGAACGAAGCTTAGCGGGAAAGAAATGCTCGGAAATCCGAGGGCAATGTTCGGCAAATTGTCGTTCATCGCCGGGTACGATCACCCAGCATGTCACGTCACTTTCACGGATGGAAGATTACGAATATGCCATCTTTCAAACTGACGTTGATTCACCATTCGGTGATACACACTGGTATACGCACTAAAATATAAACAGTTGCTCTCAGCTTTATTAAAAGTAACTCAGAGTTTTATTTGATGTACAAGGCAAAACATAAAGATCTGCAAAAGGTTAAGAGAGAAACATCCGCCATATTTGTTTTTTCTAAAGGAAACCCGAAACCCGAACCACTGAACCGAAGATTCCCGTGGGAGATCATATGACGTCACGTCAGTTTCACGGATGGAAACTAGTGACGACCGATTTTTAACGAGTGTCCCACGCAACATGATCTCGAGACCGAAATTACGATTATCGTTATTTCTAAATTGGCACCAAATTTATGGATATAGTAATTTCGTGGCACTCTTTACCAATGCTCTTTACCGTGTTTAATAAAGAGAAGGACTCGGTTCCACTGTCTTACAACATTCAAGATGGCGGAGGAAAGGGGTAAATGTGCGTTCAGTTGTGATCAGCATGATCTCGACACCAAGATAACGATTACCGTTATTTCTAAATTGGCCCTGAAATAACGAATATCATAATTTCAGTGCATGTCTGAGACCTTCGGGCTCGAAGCTTGGGAACTAGTATTCAGGGAAAGATAAAATGGCGGCTTACGGCGGCGAAGGAAATCTCAGTAGTTTAATATTTAGCGTGAAAAGGCTTGGGTGTTGTGATCTGGTTCTCAAGTAAAAAAAAATCACGGTCTGCAATGGCCCTACCACCTTTTGAACAACAAGAAAACATTGAAACGGTGGTAAAAAGCAGCAAGTTTCGAAGTCTAAACGAAAGATGGGTAAGCTGAGTTTCAGTCAAATATCATGACATTTGGGATGTAATTTCGATACCGAATAAATAGTTCTACATGGTTACACACGCATAGGATTCTGTTGTGTTCACGTGAAGGCCATTTTAGCCATTCCTGCCACTTGTAAGTGGTAGGAAATAAAAGATATGTATAGTTGTTTCGTATTGAAGCCCTGTGAAATCACAAATTTGATTTATTTCTTCTTTGTTTTAAGTGGTCATTATCCATTACTTTTGGAAGTCGATGCTGATGAGAAAGAAAAAATGTTTATGATTATTTCTTCTCTCGAACATTTTATTATTTAGGTACCAAATAATCTTGATACTGAAGATCATTGCATCCATTATGAAAAAATTACCCTTGATTGCTTTGTCAACTGGAATGTATAATGTAATATACCTTGTGATTTGTGGGATTTTCACAAGTAAACTAGAAATACTTGAAGAAGTTAATGATGTACTTAATGCAGAGCATTTGGTACAAAGTCTGCTTTGCTGTAATCTACCTGAAGGTGCTTTTTATATGCTAGTAAGACTTGCACAGCCCAGTCAAAATGTTTTTGAGTAGTAGAAAAGCTGGCCAAACCTCTTCCTGAAAAGCAGTCTGAAAAATGTGAAGTTAGCGGAAGGTACTTCATTGTAGGCGGCCAAATTGTAAGCTGCCAGCCCATTTTGAGTGAGCAGTAAAACTCAAGATTGGCTATTTTAGCTAATTTTATTGAGAACCAAATTCCCAGCAACGGGCACAATTTTACTGGGCTATTTGTTATTTAACTACTTAGTAATATTCTTATTAAAATTTACTGCATTCCTTTCTAATAATTTGCTGCTGATTGTATGCTGTATATAGCTTATGATTTGTGTGATTTTCACAAGTAAATTAGAAATACCTGAAGATGGTAATGATGTACTAGATAATGTACTTGATGCAAAGCTATTTTGGTGCAAAGTGTGTGCCTTGTCCGTAGGTGATTTTGCATGCTAATAAGACTTGTAATTCAAATAATACACATCAGCTGGAGTGGGAATATTAAAAGAAAAATAATAATATTTAGCTATACCAAGTTCTGGTTTTATGTCCAAAGTGTGTGCCTTGTCCGTAGGTGATTTTGCATGCTAATAAGACTTGTAATTCAAATAATACACATCAGCTGGAGTGGGAATATTAAAAGAAAAATAATAATATTTAGCTATACCAAGTTCTGGTTTTATGTCCAAATTAAGCACTTAGTTGAAGATCACTGCACTGCTCAGGTCCAGAAGGCTGAAAGAGTACTGTCTGCTGTTAGTTTGATTTTTGTCATTTCTATTGATTTATTTTATTTATCAATGTTTCTTTGAATTGTAATTCATTGATCTCTTTCAATAGTGCAGGTTCGCTCATGTAACCTAATCTCCCACTTATGTATGTATGTATGGATGAGCTCAGTCAAAATGTTTTTGAGTGGAAGGCAAGCTGGTGATAGTAATAGGCAGCAGAGGCTGAACCTTGTCTTGAATGGAAGTGTGAAAAGTGTGAAGTTAGCGGCAGCTATATTGTGGCAGGCAGCCAAATTGTCAGCTGTGGCACATTTTGACTGGGCTGATTGTGTGTAGTATATATGTGCACTTCTTTTAGGGTGTTAAACAGGTTAAAGTACCAAGAAATCCTCTGTGATAACTTGATAATTCAAGATGTAAAAATTTTAAATAATAAGGTAAAAAGGTAAAATCCCAATTTGTTTTAAGAGTTAATTTTATCAAGAGAAAACCCTGGATATAGCTTGGGATTTGTGTGATTTTCAAAAATTGTTAGGAACCTTGTTAATTTTCAGCTTCAAGAACACAAGTACATAATCTTTAGTGCAGCCCTCTTTTCTCCCCGCCATTATTCTAATTTTTTTATCAAGTTTCCTTTTTCTTGTGTTCAATTAATTCATTGTCTTTACAGGTGAAATTTTAATATCTGCTAGCACAATTATCTCTGCTAAGAGTGTCTACCATCACTCTTGCCGGTCTCATGCCCAAAACGCTGCAAACTAGCTGAAACTACATGTATTTCGTAAAATTGCAATGAAATCTATCTAAAAACACCAAAATCCGGCAGAACGCGCGAGTTTTTGCCAAATTTTACGCAAAAGTTGACAAAAGCGCTCAATTCGACCTGAAAAACACTTTTTTTTTTTTTTTTGGCAAAAATCAGCCTATTTTACATTCAAAAGCACGATGTCTTTAACAAAATAAGGATACAATCCATGTGAAAACACTTATTCCAGCTAAAACGCAGTCTTCTCAGTAAAATTTGGGCTGATTTTACCCACTTTTTGTGTAAATAGCTGCCAAAACCCTCTAAACTAGCTGGAACTACATGTTTTTCACAAGATCGCCATAAAATCTTGAAACGTTGCTTTAGGGACCTTTATGCCTCCAAAACGAGTTTTTACTTTAAAAGAAATGGAATTAGCAAAGAAGTGAAAGGGGAAAAAGCTGTGAGAAAGGAGAAGTTTAGTGTTGCTGTGTGATATGCCGCCCAGATATATCAATTTATTAATTTAACGCCTTTAGCCGTGGGCAGAAGTTTTTCTCTAGACTAAGAGGACCCTCCCTATGTTGACGAACCTCAATAACTCGTTGATTTTACTGTTTTTACACAGATTTGATTTTAACCATATTCGCCAAAATAACTGCC